CCCCAAAACCCCAAAACCCCAAAACCCCTTTATCAAAATTATTGGATGAAATCAATAGTTTTAGATAAATTAATGTAGATTTTAACTTAATTCAATAATTCTTATACATTAGCGATAGTTGAATTATTTTAATGGAAAAAAAGTAATGGTTTCTTGACTCTCTTGAAGCCTTTCAAATCACATATCCTAAGCAGTTTCATTTACCTTGCCATTCTGGATGATACACAAGTGATCGTTTTCAAGAATTAGAGCAGCGCCTAGGTTCAAAGAAGATCGATGGATCATGGTTTTCGCTATATAACGTGGAAGGCATTAAACTTTAAGATGGAAGACTAAATGACTTAGGCAAAAACTTTCACAAAGCTTTTAACTCTAGCTTGACATTGTTTTTGTAGAATGGCTCGACTCTAGGTAATCAAATACTCAGTATGGCCTTAGCTAAAAAGAAAGTTTTAGTGTAAAGTAATTCTCACTTGTCAGTTTATATCGGCCTTTAAACAGCTGGGTGTACGATTCAATTTATTTTACCTGAATACAATTCTGATTATGGAGTTTTTCTTCCTATTACAGCCAATCAAATTTAAAATCTACTCTAGGACTCACCAGATATTGAAGCTATATATCTAACTTCTCCAAATCATGAAGGATTCTAATGTAATTACCAAGAAATTAGGAATGTTATGGGTGATTCCCGTATTCTAGTAATAGATGAAGCTCATGGATCTCACTACTACTTTTCAAAAGATTTGAAGCATAAATCTGCTCTTAATTCCGGAGATAAAGTAGTAGATGCAGTTGTGACTAGCATTCATAAAAACTTAGGAGGCCTGTCAGCCACTGCAATTATTAATTTAGGTATAGATTCATGATTTTCAGAAGAGCAGATTATAGATATTTACAACATGTAGAGCACAACATCTCCAAGCCCCTTTCTAGTTTTGGATGCAGAGTGTTGTGTTAGAGAGTTTGTTGAAAATGGTGATGAGATGATATTAAGAGCAGTCAGACTTAACAAAAAGTTTAGGAGAGCTATTTAAAAATTTCAATATGTAAATGTACTAGAATAGCAAGGGTAGGATCCAACTAAGACAATATTTAAAATTGAAGGAATTAAAGCAGACGATCTGTATCATTTGTTAGATAAATATAGGATTAATCCTGAGAAATATACAGAAAAAGCTGTGTTGATAACTATACATATAAACATTAGTGAATAAGATGTAGAAGATCTAATTGAAGCTGTGAAACTGATATCTATTGAATATGGAAGAATCGAGGAGAAGAGAGATAGTTAATACCTTATAGAATAAGAGAAAATTAATTAAAGGCTTACAAATCTCTTCAGGGAAAGAAAAATCATAATGGACCTAAGAGATGTAATGGCATCAAAATTTGAGTATGTTGCTTCCTTTAAGGCCATTGGAAGAATTAGTGCTGAAGTAAAATCTAAATCTCCTCCTGGATATCCAATTTTATTGTATGGAGAAGTAATAAAAGCAGAACACATAGAATTCTTAGAAATGGATGAAAAATTAAAAGTAGTTATATGATATTTAAAAATAATTTTAATTAGAATTCCTTTAAAGAATAAACTCTCACATTCTATTAATTTTGCCCTACGGGGTTTTGGGGTTTTGGGGTTTTGGGTTGATTCAATTGGAGGAGTCAGCATCGTTTGT